TACAGCACTTCATCCAATCAGTCTCATTCTCCAGTCTTCCATACACAAAGAAGAATCGCCAATAAAGTTAAGTGTTATTCTGTTAATGTTTAATTCATCATGTGCCACTGTATTGTTTATGTACTACATCTATATTTCATGTAAAAAAATTTTTTGTTTTAATACTTCCGGGCGTCAGGAACGGATTAATTGAATTTACATTATTTCTTATGGGGAAAATTGATTCGTAAATCGTCCATTTCGATAATAGTCCCACTTCCAGGAACGGATTATGGACGATTGAGGGACCACTGTATGTCGTTTTTTTCGTTAACATACATATTTATTATAAAGTTTATTGATAAATTATGCACAATAAGTGGAGAATTATTACTTTTTCACTTATGAGAAGAACTTCATGGCTTCTCGCAGGCTTTGAAGAACTTCTCCATCAATACTTTTGTACTTTGAGGCCATTATTAAGCAAACTAAGGGTTATTTTTGGCCCACGGTAAAATGTGGATAACCGAAACCGTGGATACAGGGCCCGCTGTATATGAATTCAAAGTTGTCAGTTTTACAGCTGGGCATTATACAGAATTATAATAATAGCTGCTTGAGAGCTAATTCAAGCAAATATATGGTCATCAGAAATATCAGCCTAAACAGTAAACTATACTTATCAGGAAATGGCTGATACCAGTGACTGTCTACCAGTACTGTATTAGCTAGTATCGGATATACAGCAACATTACTATACCTATTCCTCTAAACCTTGCTAGGAAGTGATATTATATTATTACTATAACAGCTAATTGCAACAGATTATGATTGATCAGTCTAATAAAATTACAGTGCAGCATTTCAAATCACTACACGTGTAACACTGACTAATGCTTATCCCTTACAAATTTTACACGTTACTAATATATTATAAAAATATTCTGCAATCTGTGTCACCCTTCCTTGGTGGGAGAAAGCTGATGAGCAAAAAAATATTTAAAAATAGTGAGAAATGGTCAACATGGTAAAACTAAGAAAAAATTGACATATATATATATGTATATGATGTACTCCATGTCTAACACTATTTTATAAAACAAAAGTGATGTCTTACTTGAACACAAGATTCATTTTCATCCAAGTCAAGTCCATCCACCTCCATAACATCCTCTACAGCCTCAGCAACTGCAGAATCCTCCAGAATTTCTTCTTCGACCATCAGCATATCAGCTCCTCCATCATCTTCCAGGCCTTCATCCAGCCTTCCTCCAAGGCCATCATTGCTGTCCGATGAGCTGAGAATTCCCTGCATGCAATGTTCATGGACCTAATTAGGTTATTGACTATTCATTTGAGCAATGATATTATACCTGTAAGCAAACCTCTGACATATATTATATCTACTGTGCATTCCTCTTGACCTTATTGTATGTACTTTTTTTTATTGTACACCCCATCTTGACGACCGACTTGTTGAAAAAAAAAATATATATTTTATTATGCACAACTTTTTAATTTATAAATTATTAATAAACTTTTCTACACTTCTCCCTTGTCTAAAATTTCCCTATAAACATTTTGTAACATTAATAATCAAATTTATCTTTTATTGGAATGTTCATTTGTCCTATTAATAATACTGTGATAGCAAGAGAGGTAGTTTATTCTCTGATGATGATAATAATAATAATAATAATAATAATGGAAAGTTATTTTAAGTCAACTCTCCTGTAATAACAAAATAACAACATGGATATCATAAAAAAGTAAATGATTAACTTTCTTGTAGTAACAAATTCAGTCAAGCATTCATATCTGCAGAACTTACAAATCATGTTATAGAATAGTACACAGTACTCTTACTCAACAGGGAATGGAATTTCCTAAACATTAGGGGTTCTTATAGAAAACTTTGCAAATATTGACTGGTCTACTCATCCTCATTTATAAATAGGACACTTTGGATCCAATTAATCTCTAACAAATACTAATCTGCAAATATGAATATTGCAAATATTTAAACTTAAACCTTTTTCTCCTTTATTTTTCACCAAATGAATCCATATTTTATGTAGAGTATGTCTTTATTATGCATGTGTGGAGGGCTCGTATTTATTTAGTAGAGATTGGGCAAGAACTGTACATTTAATAATTATGAATTATGATTATGATTATGATTGGGCAAGAACTGTACATTTAATAATTATGAAGGATGAGGTTAATCATAGAATTGATGAGGGAAAAAAGGTGAGTGGTGCGTTGAGGTATATGTGGAGTCAAAAAACGTTATCTATGGAGGCAAAGAAGGGAATGTATGAAAGTATAGTAGTACCAACACTCTTATATGGATGTGAAGCTTGGGTGGTAAATGCAGCAGCGAGGAGACGGTTGGAGGCAGTGGAGATGTCCTGTCTAAGGGCAATGTGTGGTGTAAATATTATGCAGAAAATTCGGAGTGTGGAAATTAGGAGAAGGTGTGGAGTTAATAAAAGCATTAGTCAGAGGGCAGAAGAGGGGTTGTTGAGGTGGTTTGGTCATTTAGAGAGAATGGATCAAAGTAGAATGACATGGAAAGCATATAAATCTATAGGGGAAGGAAAGAGGGGTAGGGGTCGTCCTCGAAAGGGTTGGAAAGAGGGGGTAAAGGAGGTTTTGTGGGTGAGGGGCTTGGACTTCCAGCAAGCGTGCATGAGCGTGTTAGATAGGAGTGAATGGAGACGAATGATACTTGGGACCTGACGATCTGTTGGAGTGTGAGCAGGGTAATATTTAGTGAAGGGATTCAGGGAAACCGGTTATTTTCATATAGTCGGACTTGAGTCCTGGAAATGGGAAGTACAATGCCTGCACTTTAAAGGAGGGGTTTGGGATATTGGCAGTTTGGAGGGATATGTTGTGTATCTCTATACGTATATGCTTCTAAACTGTTGTATTCTGAGCACCTCTGCAAAAGCAGTGATAATGTGTGTGTGTGGTGAAAGTGTTGAATGATGATGAAAGTATTTTCTTTTTGGGGATTTTCTTTCTTTTTTTTGGGTCACCCTGCCTCGGTGGGAGACGACCGACTTGTTGAAAAAAAAAAAAAAAAGAATTTGTTAAAGCCTGAATTATAAATATTATTATTCCCCTATTATATTTTCATCATATGCATTGAAATTTTATGTATATGGTACATATGGTAATAATCATAATAATAATAATGATGATGATGATGATAATTGGGAGCAAGGTGTTAGTAACCCCTTCTCTTGAATAAATTACTAAATTTAAAAAGAAAAACTTTTCTTTCTTTTTCGGTTACCCTGCCTGGGTGGGATAAGGCCAGTTTCTTGAAATAAAAAAAATATTACGAGTGGGGATATCTGCAGTTTGGAGGGTTATCTGAATTGTCCTATCTACGTGCCTCTGGCAAAACAGTGATAGCATGAATAACAGTGAAAGTGTTTCTTTTTTTAGGTCACCCTGCCTTGGTGGAAGGTGGCCAATGTGTTAAAAAAAAAAAACAGATATAGGGGTATTTCTATTATGGTAATTATTAGTTTGGACACTGGAATTTTAGATTTTGCTGGCTAGGATTGATCCTAAGGTCCTGGAGAAATCATTTAGTTTATTAGGCTCAGCAAGCTGGATGGGATGTTACACAAATATTCCGTTCTTATGAGGCTGCTCTCATTGCTACCAGGCATGGTAAGAATCAGCTTCACTCTTTGCGTGACTGTCTTGCTAAACAAGTTCTGCCCCCTTTCTTCCATTTTCTGAAACCCAGCCCACTGGGCACTCCCTTTCCTGACCGTGCCCGTCTCCTTCTTCAACAGCTCATCTTTTCTACAAAGTCTCAGGTTGAAGATGCCTTCTTTACTCTCCGTCAGTGTCAACGTGCTCTTCTCGCTTCTCTTCCACAAGATCTCTGTAACCTTCTCTCTACCATTGCTTTTGACACTGCTCGCCTGAATTCCCAAATTCATTCCTCTAAACTACGGAATAAACTTCAACGTCTCATCTCAGATAGCCCTTGGTCTAAATTCTCCCTTACTGACTGTGTTACTAACCTGTCTTCTGTCTCACTCTCTCAATATGAGCTTGAGCTTCTTGGTTTTGGTCTTTCCTTTGCCACTTCACCTACCTCTCGCGCTGGTATTGCCCTGATTAGCTGTTTTGATTCTTTTCATCAGTCTCACTCTCATAATCTTCCTGACTTGTCCACCTTTTGTGGCACACTCCTTCCTGCTCTTGATAGTCTGTTTTCAAAGAACCACCACCTTCTGCACAGTTACCAACTTGCCCTTTCTTCTCTTAAATCCAATACCAACATTGTCATACTATCTTCTGACAAAGGTAATTCGGTAGTTATCCTTGATCGCAAGGATTACCTCCGTAAAGCTGATGTCTTGCTCTCTGACTCACGTACCTACACTCCTCTCATTTCCAACCCTCTTGATCGCATTAAGAGAACTTTTAACAAAAAATTAGGACTCTGTCCGACCTCTGTCCTCCTGACTTAGACTTTGTTCAACGTTTTCGTGTCATCTGTCCCTCTCTGCTCTATTTCTATGGCCTTCCCAAAACCCATAAACCTGATATTCCCCTATGTCCTATCATATCCTCTAGAGGTTCTGTCTCTCATTCTCTTGCTTCTTGGCTTGGTACTTTTTCTCCTGCCCACCTCCGTCACTCTCAAAACTTCATTGAACGGGTTCGCTCTCTCCCGACCTGTAAGATGCTTAGTCTTGACGTTGAGTCCCTCTTCACCAATGTCCCTCTTGATGATGTCCTTGATTTTCTTAGAGAAGGCCAATGAAGGGTTTCTTCATCTCACTATACCTACTTATGTCTTTCCTGATCTTATCTGCCTCTGTGTGGACTCTAATTCCTTTTCCTTCCAAGGGAAATATTATTCTCAAACCTTCAGTGTCGCTATGGGCTCTCCTCTCTCTCCTGTCCTTGCTAATCTTTACATGGAATACTTCGAGACGGTTCTTCCTACTATCGATGTGCGCCCTTCACTCTGGCTCCACTATGTTGATGACATCTTTGCTCTGTGGCCTTATGACTCTTGTTTCTTCCAACCATTTCTTGATGCTCTTAATAATCTTGCCCCTTCCATTAAGTTTAAAGATGAATGGGAATCTAATTCCTTGCTTCCTTTTCTTGATGTTCATGTCCACCGCTCAGATACAGCTTTTGCCTTTTCCATTTACCGCAAGCCTATGCACAGTGGCATGTACATTCACCACTTTTCTTATCATGCTTCCTCTGTCAAGAAAAGTGTTCTTATTTCCCTCTTTCTCCGTGCTCTCTGCATATGTGATCCTCAGTTCCTTCAATCAGAAATTTCTACTCTTCATAATTCATTTTCTCATCTTGGCTACCCTTCCCATTTCACAGACTCTGCCTTCTCACGTGCTAAATGTAATTTCTTCTCTCCCAAACTCTCTACTCCTTGGAACTCTTCTGTCCTCTGTCTTCCCTACATTTCTGGTCTTTCTAATCTCAACAACTCTCTCCATTCCTTAGACATCAAACTTACTTTCCGCCAGACTAACACTCTTCGCACTAATCTTGTTCATACCCTCCTTCCTCTACAGATGCTCCTGGTGTCTACTCTATTTCTTATTCCTCCTGTCCTCTTCAATACTTTGGAGAAACTGGTCTATCTCTTTCTGACAGACTTAAGGAGCACAAAAAATAGTGTTAGGCTTGCCAACACTAATAATGCTCTTTTCTGCCATGTCAGAGATCACAGCCATCCTACTGACTGGTCTTCTGCTAAAACTGTCTTCCCTACTTCCAACTTTAACAGTCACTGTCTGGTTGAATCCTCCCTACTACACAACTTTCCTTGTATGAATCTTAGTCCCGGCTTCATCTCTGTAGATGCCTTCCTCTCCCACTGCATTGTAAAATGCTCCAAACTTCAGAACACTCAAAGACCTAACCTAATTCCTCCTTTTTTTCTTCTTCTCCCTCTTCCCCTTTCCTTCTTCCTTTTTTTCCTTTGGGTTGTCTTTCTTCTGCCCTGTGTATTTGTTCCTTCTTTATTTACTTATTTATTTGTTTTCCCCCCCTCTGTGTTCTTGCTCTTACCCTCTGTGGGAACCAGCTCCCTTGCAGTGCTCCTCTTTCTTAGTAGTATTTGATTGGCCCCTCCTACTCTTACTACCTCCCCACTACTACTTCCTTCTACCTCCACTACTACCACTACCACCTCCTACCTATATATACCCATCCTCCTCTCCTTCTCGTTAGTGTGACTTTGTAAATGGTCCAAGTCGGGCCAAAACGTCATCATAAGCTCCTCTCTTCTATGTGTGGGTTATTTGTGTATCGTTCCAGTCATGGTATTGTGCCTTTTTTTGCTATTTATGGATGGGATGTTCATTTGGTTTGGTTAGAACAATCTCTCTGGTTTTGGTTAATTTTTCAGAGCCTATGACTTGTTAGTGTTTTTTCCAGGCCTTTTTTATATCCCCTTTTATTTCATTAAACCAGCTGGTAGCTAGTATAACTACATTGGTTTGATGGGCAGTAGCTGGTCATGTTAAGCAGAACTTCAGCCTGCACCACTGTGTTTTCATACTGATCTTTCAGTACTTTTCCATGTAAATCTGTTTTACATGCTATGTCAATGGACACAGTATGATGTTTACTTTAATACCTGGTGTTTCAATGACTCAACAGACTCGCTGGCTGCCAGACCAGTAATAACTTCCACAGGTTCTTCTTGTTTCACTTCAAGTTTTACACTAGGAGGTCGCCCTCGTCCTCTTCCTCGACGCCCTCGACGAACACGTCCTCCACCACCTGCCGGTAAACAAGATATTTAAATTCAAAGATTAAAAGTGTCTGTGTATCATATTTATGTTACTGTATATATATATATATATACAGTATATTAAACATATCAAGCTATTATACTACAACAGTTACAAAAATTGAAGAAAAGAGAGGGATAAGCAGATTGTGTTTAGTTGAATTTCAAGAAAAATTCCAACAACCTCAAATTCTACGACTTTAAGGGTGATGGACTGATTACATCGTCTTCTCTACTGTTCCTGCCTACTTTCTGTATTCGACTGAAGAAGCCTACTGTGTAGGCGAAACGTTTCGGAATAAAGTTGCCTAACTGTTGCCTATGTGTCTTACCTACCAACCTGTCGGTATTGTATACCATTTTGATGTTCATCTTGTCAGACACTGCAACACATAGCATCTTGATACAGAAAACACCTTGGACAAACTTTTCAAGTGAGAATTGTTGGATCTGAGAGGGACCTGACCTTTCAGTGGTTACATTCTCACTACTACTACTACTACTCTGCACCTCTCCTTCCGACAGTATTTAAGTCTCCGCACTGTCGCTTGATCTTCAGATAGTTCCTGACTATGGAACTGAACTTCTCCAGGCCGAGGGACTGACAACCTCAAATTCTACGACTTTAAGGGTGATGGACTGATTACATCGTCTTCTCTACTGTTCCTGCCTACTTTCTGTATTCGACTGAAGAAGCCTACTGTGTAGGCGAAACGTTTCGGAATAAAGTTGCCTAACTGTTGCCTATGTGTCTTACCTACCAAAAATTCCAACAGAATTACTCATGAGAGACTACTCTGGAATCTACAAAACAAAGAATGAATAAAAAGCCGATTATTACAGTGGATGACAGATTGTGTGTTTGAGAGGAAAATGCAAAAGCTGATATCACCAGTGCAGTGCTGTAAGAACAGTACATGCCTAGACTGTTTAAAAAATATATGTAAATAGCTCGTCAGAATGAATAAAAACTTATATGAATATGTTTGCTGATGGTGCCAAGTTTCTGTATATATAATAAGTGATAACAATGACTAAATCCTTACAAGAAGACTTGGATAGGTTGAGGAAGTCAGGTGACTGATGGAATTTAATGTGGCCAAGGACCACATAATGGAAGTGATGAGAAAGCAAAATGATTCACATGAAAAATATAGTGTGATAAAATATTAGAAGTATCAGACAATGAGAAGGACCTAAAAGTCATCACTGACAAAAGATTGTCCCTAGAAGAATATGTTAATTAAATCACGTGAAATCCATGTGCTAGAGAAACTCATTTTTTTTTTTTAGGTCACCCTGCCTTGGTGGGATATGGCCTGTTTGTTGAAAAAAATAAAATCCATGTGCTACACAAGCCAACTTTAAAACAAACTTTGGATTTATGTATGGGGAAATGATAAAATAAACGTTCACAAAATGTTACCAAAATTAGAATACACATTAGTGGTATAGTGTCCATACCCACAAAAACATGCAAAACAATCTAGAAAAAGATCAAGGCGAGTCACAAAATGGCCACCAAAATTAAAACCATTCACAGGAGAACTAGAAGCCATAGATGTAATCTGAAGAACAACAGGAGTCAAATGGATAATTACAGTGGAACCTCAAAAATCGAACTGCTCCCAACATGACCAATTATGTAAGTGTATTTTTGCAAGTGCTTTTATAAGTGTATTTTTGAGGGTCTGAAATGGACTAATCTAATTTACATTATTCCTGATGGGAATAAATTCATTCGGTAAAGGCACTCGAACAGCCTTCTGGACCGAAGAAAGTTCGATATTTGAGGTTCCACTGTACTATGAAGTAAATCTTTATAAACTGGTAGAACCGAGAAAAGTGAAACTTACAACTAATGAAAATTAAATTACTGTATATGATACAGTAGATTAAATATAGAAGATATAACACACCAAGCATAACTCTATTCATGTAACTGTAAACAGATAATTATAAGATGTATCTTTCACATTCATATTCTGAATGTTAAAGCGTGCTGGGCGATGGCTAATACTACTACAGTAGTATTACTGCTTCTCTTCCAATGCTTCCCCTTTTTCTTCTTTCTTCTCCTACTCCTCCTTTCTTTGAATAAAAACATCATGCAATGAGAAAAATAAATAATTATGAAGAACTAATGGATTGGGTGGGAAAATTGTGTATAGTGTTGAAGGTGAGATGAGGAAAAATTTAGTTAAAATGATGTCATTACAGATGACATGTTAACATACCCACTCCCCCTCTCTCTTGAGTGCTCCACTGCCTGCTTCCTCCCACAATATTATTCATGTTTTTGACATTTGCATTGTTTTCTAAGATTGAAACCACATAAATACTTAAGTCCTAAGCATAAGGTGGCAACCAGTAGGTCTATGAAACTGTATTTAGATTTAATCAGAAAATGCATTTTCATGTGGTTTCAGTTGGGAAGAAAATATTTAATACAGAGATATTCAAGATACTCTACATTTGAACTGGCTTGCATTTCCTATCTTATTAGGGATATCACACACAGACTAACCTGATCCCATATACACCTTGAAATCCTTATCATCTTTAGTAAGAGTAGAGGCTTCTAAGTTGAGGGAGTCTTCTTCCAGCACACTGTCTACACTCTCCTCAAGACAATCCTGTTTCACCAAGGCCAAGGTCCTCATGTACTTGTTAGTTACCACCTGAGTGATAAAACATATCATTTATACTTTCATGCATTTTTTTAGCTTAATGATCAAAATATAAAAGAGAATAGGCTAACCCAAAAAGTTCTTGGGGATCATCATGTTTTAATTTTTTTTTAACACACCAGTTGTCTCCTACTGAGGTAGGGTGATCTGAAAAAAGAAGCACTTTCACCAGCATTCACTCTATCACTGTCTTGCTACAAGTATGCCAATACTACAATTTAAAAGCTCCTCTATATTAAAAATATACTCACCCACCCTTCAGAGTGCAGTCACTGTATTTCCCTCCTCCAGGACTTGAGTCTGGCTAAATGGTTTCTCTGAAAACTTTCACAAGTGTTACCTTGTTCACACTCCAACAGTTTGTCAAGTCCCAAAAACCCTTTGCCTCAACTCACTCCCATCTTACATGCCTGCTAGATGTCCAAGCCCCCTCGCACACAACACCTCATTTACCCCCTCCCCTAACCTTTCCTAGGACAACCCCTATCCCCCAATCCCTCCAGTAGAGATTTATACACCCTCCAAGTCATCCTACTTTGCTCCATCCTCTTGAAATGTGCAAACCTCCTCAACAACCCTCTCCTCAGCCCTCTGAATAACACTCTTACTAACCTTGCATCTCCTAATCTCCAAGCTATGAATTCTCTACATAATATTTACATCACACATTACCCCTAGATACTACAACTCCACTGCCTCTACCTTATTGTAACATTCACAACCTATGTTTTGATTACTTTGCATGAAATACAGCTACATCTTATTGATTTCCAGGCAGTTATAACTGGAAACTCTAGTTTAAATGAAGACTTCACTGCTTCCAACCTTCACTCATTCAACATGATGCAAAATAAACCATTTATCTGTCTGGGCTATTTTCCATTTATTTCACTGTAATTATTTTTTTTTTTTTTTTTTATTATCACACCGGCCGATTCCCACCAAGGCAGGGTGGCCCGAAAAAGAAAAACTTTCACCATCATTCACTCCATCACTGTCTTGCCAGAAGGGTGCTTTACACTACAGTTTTTAAACTGCAACATTAACACCCCTCCTTCAGAGTGCAGGCACTGTACTTCCCATCTCCAGGACTCAAGTCCGGCCTGCCGGTTTCCCTGAATCCCTTCATAAATGTTACTTTGCTCACACTCCAACAGCACGTCAAGTATTAAAAACCATTTGTCTCCATTCACTCCTATCAAACACGCTCACGCATGCCTGCTGGAAGTCCAAGCCCCTCGCACACAAAACCTCCTTTACCCCCTCCCTCCAACCCTTCCTAGGCCGACCCCTACCCCGCCTTCCTTCCACTACAGACTGATACACTCTTGAAGTCATTCTGTTTCGCTCCATTCTCTCTACATGTCCGAACCACCTCAACAACCCTTCCTCAGCCCTCTGGACAACAGTTTTGGTAATCCCGCACCTCCTCCTAACTTCCAAACTACGAATTCTCTGCATTATATTCACACCACACATTGCCCTCAGACATGACATCTCCACTGCCTCCAGCCTTCTCCTCGCTGCAACATTCATCACCCACGCTTCACACCCATATAAGAGCGTTGGTAAAACTATACTCTCATACATTCCCCTCTTTGCCTCCAAGGACAAAGTTCTTTGTCTCCACAGACTCCTAAGTGCACCACTCACTCTTTTTCCCTCATCAATTCTATGATTCACCTCATCTTTCATAGACCCATCCGCTGACACGTCCACTCCCAAATATCTGAATACGTTCACCTCCTCCATACTCTCTCCCTCCAATCTGATATTCAATCTTTCATCACCTAATCTTTTTGTTATCCTCATAACCTTACTCTTTCCTGTATTCACCTTTAATTTTCTTCTTTGCACACCCTACCAAATTCATCCACCAATCTCTGCAACTTCTCTTCAGAATCTCCCAAGAGCACAGTGTCATCAGCAAAGAGCAGCTGTGACAACTCCCACTTTGTGTGTGATTCTTTATCTTTTAACTCCACGCCTCTTGCCAAGACCCTCGCATTTACTTCTCTTACAACCCCATCTATAAATATATTAAACAACCACGGTGACATCACACATCCTTGTCTAAGGCCTACTTTTACTGGGAAAAAATTCCCCTCTTTCCTACATACTCTAACTTGAGCCTCACTATCCTCGTAAAAACTCTTCACTGCTTTCAGTAACCTACCTCCTACACCATACACTTGCAACATCTGCCACATTGCCCCCCTATCCACCCTGTCATACGCCTTTTTCCAATCCATAAATGCCACAAAGACCTCTTTAGCCTTATCTAAATACTGTTCACTTATATGTTTCACTGTAAACACCTGGTCCACACACCCCCTACCTTTCCTAAAGCCTCCTTGTTCATCTGCTATCCTATTCTCCGTCTTACTCTTAATTCTTTCAATTATAACTCTACCATACACTTTACCAGGTACACTCAACAGACTTATCCCCCTATAATTTTTTGCACTCTCTTTTATCCCCTTTGCCTTTATACAAAGGAACTATGCATGCTCTCTGCCAATTCCTAGGTACCTTACCCTCTTCCATACATTTATTAAATAATTGCACCAACCACTCCAAAACTATATCCCCACCTGCTTTTAACATTTCTATCTTTATCCCATCAATCCCGGCTGCCTTACCCCCTTTCATTTTACCTACTGCCTCACGAACTTCCCCCACACTCACAACTGACTCTTCACTGTAATTATGAAGTGATATTCAATCAGAAGAATAATCATGCTTTTTTTTTTTTTTGCACATTAATAACTGTGAGAAAGATGACAGAGGTTTAAAAAGATGATATGAAGACAATAGGTTTAAAGAGTACTGGAAAATCAGGAAAAGCCAGAAGTATCTCTTGAAGCTTACATTAACCAAATATTATAGTGTTTTTTATGTATAATCAGCAAAATGCTACAATTACATAATGTGAGTTTTTTGACAAATCAAAACTACCATGACATAATATAAATAACAAAAAAGGCACAATACCGTGACTGGAACGATACACAAATAACCCGCACATAAAAGAGAGAAGCTTACGACGACGTTTCGGTCCGATTTGGACCATGGTCCAAGTCGGACCGAAACATCGTCGTAAGCTTCTCTCTTTTATGTGCGGGTTATTTGTGTAACATAATATAATTTTGAGTAACTGTGTAATTATATACAGTATTTTATATTTTATATACAGTATTTTATATATGCATATTGTTAACATATGGTATAACTAATTAGCCAGAGGGGCAAATTATGCTCCACTATTCAACAGGAGGCCTATTAACTAAAAATCAAATTAACCAGAAAATGAGGTGCTACTGAAAAATATTGTAAAATAGTAATTAAGGAAGAGAAATATCAGTGGCTAACAGAAACACTTGAGGTAGTTAGCTGGTAGCAATATTACTTTTATAAGTGAATGTAAAGTGTAGAAAAGATACAAGTTTATTTTTGCAACCACCATGTAGCTATATACGTAAAAATGTACTACCCTAGACATTTATAAATTTATAGTACAATTGTTTCACTTGCCTGCTTCATGTTCATAAGCTGACCCTCTAAAGAGTCTATGTCATCGATGAGTTTGAAGCACTTTTTACATACAATACTTGAGTGGGCAACCAAAGCACTAAGGTCCTGGTTGACGATGGTACTCAGCACAGTGTGGACCTGCAGCTGACGATGTGATGTCTTTGCCTGTTATGACAAATTCTTTTAGCATAAGCAAAACAAAGGATTGCAAACTCTTGAAATGAAAGTTGAGTTTGTATTTTAGAAAATATAACTCTTCACGTAGGTGTAGCTGATGCCACTATTATATGTTTGATACAATATTATTGAAAAAATTTAAAAAATGCTGAAGTGAAGTTTGCAAATGAAAGAAATTTTATATCAAACTGTTTCCATATGAGTAAAATTACTCTTGCAGTTTTATGTAAATAAAATGTCAAGAATACCAGGTTTCATGCATGATTTTTTTATTTGGATTAACCTGAGGGATTAACCCAGTCACTGTCTCCCACATAGATCTATATTACTGAAGCTAGTGTTTACCTGGAGTTTACCTGGAGAGAGTTCCGGGGGTCAATGCCCCCGTGGCCCGGTCCGTGACCAGGCCTCCTGGTGGATCAGAGCCTGATCAACCAGGCTGTTACTGCTGGCTGCACGCAAACCAACGTACGAGCCACAGCCCGGCTGGTCAGGAACCGACTTTAGGTGCCTGTCCAGTTCCAGCTTGAAGACTGCCAGGGGTCTGTTGGTAATCCCTCTTATGTATGCTGGGAGGCAGTTGAACAGTCTCGGGCCCCTGACACTTATTGTATGGTCTCTTAACGTGCTAGTGACACTCCTGCTTTTCATTGGGGGGATGTTGCATCGTCTGCCAAGTCTTTTGCTTTCATAGTGAGTGATTTTCGTGTGCAAGTTCAGTACTAGTCCCTCTAGGATTTTCCAGGTGTATATAATCATGTATCTCTCCCGTCTGCGTTCCAGGGAATACAGGTTTAGGAACCTCAAGCGCTCCCAGTAATTGAGGTGTTTTATCTCCGTTATGCATGCCGTGAAGGTTCTCTGTACATTTTCTAGGTCAGCAATTTCACCCGCCTTGAAAGGTGCTGTTAGTGTGCAGCAATATTCCAGCCTAGATAGAACAAGTGACCTGAAGAGTGTCATCATGGGCTTGGCCTCCCTAGTTTTGAAGGTTCTCATTATCCATCCTGTCATTTTTCTAGCAGATGCGATTGATACAATGTTATGGTCCTTGAAGGTGAGATCCTCCGACATGATCACTCCCAGGTCTTTGACAAGATAAGATAAGATAAGATTTCGTTCGGATTTTTAACCCCGGAGGGTTAGCCACCCAGGATAACCCAAGAAAGTCAGTGCGTCATCGAGGACTGTCTAACTTATTTCCATTGGGGTCCTTAATCTTGTCCCCCAGGATGCGACCCACACCAGTCGACTAACACCCAGGTACCTATTTGCTGCTAGGTGAACAGGACAACAGGTGTAAGGAAACGTGTCGAAATGTTTCCACCCGCCGGGAATCGAACCCGGGCCCTCCGTGTGTGAAGCGGGAGCTTTAGCCACCAGGTGTTTCACTCTATTTTGTGGCCAGAATTTGTTTTGTACTCTGATGAAGATTTAATTTCCTCGAGCTTACCATATCTGAGTAATTGAAATTTCTCATCGTTGAACTTCATATTGTTTTCTGCAGCCCACTGAAAGATTTGGTTGATGTCCCCCTGGAGCCTTGCAGTGTCTGCAATGGAAGACACTGTCATGCAGATTCGGGTGTCATCTGCAAAGGAAGACATGGTGCTGTGGCTGACATCCTTGTCTATGTCAGATATGAGGATGAGGAACAAGATGGGAGCGAGTACTGTGCCTTGTGGAACAGAGCTTTTCACCGTAGCTGCCTCGGACTTTACTCTGTTGACTACTACTCTCTGTGTTCTGTTAGTGAGGAAATTATAGATCCATCGACTGACTTTTCCTGTTATACCTTTAGCATGCATTTTGTGCGCTATTACGCCATGGTCACACTTGTCGAAGGCTTTTGCAAAGTCTGCATATATTACATCTGCATTCTTTTTGTCTTCTAGTGCATCTAGGACCTTGTCGTAGTGATCCAATAGTTGGGAAAGACAGGAGCGACCTGTTCTAAACCCATGTTGCCCTGGGTTGTGTAACTGATGGGTTTCTAGATGGGTGGTGATCTTGCTTCTTAGGACCCTTTCAAAGATTTTTATGATATGGGATGTTAGTGCTATTGGTCTGTAGTTTTTTGCTGTTGCTTTACTGCCCCCTTTGTGGAGTGGGGCTATGTCTGTTGTTTTTAGTAACTGTGGGACGACCCCCGTGTCCATGCTCCCTCTCCATAGGATGGTAAAGGCTCGTGATAGGGGCTTCTTGCAGTTCTTGATGAACACGGAGTTCCACGAGTCTGGCCCTGGGGCAGAGTGCATGGGCATGTCATTTATCGCCTGTTCGAAGTCATTTGGCGTCAGGATAACATCGGATAGGCTTGTGTTAACCAAATTCTTTGGCTCTCTCATAAAAAATCATTTTGATCTTCGACTCTCAGTCTGGTTAGCGACTTGTTAAAAACTGAGTCATATTGGGACTTGAGTAGCTCACTCATTTCCTTGCTGTCATCTGTGTAGGACCCATCTTGTTTAAGTAGGGGCCCAGTACTGGACGTTGTTCTCGACTTTGATTTGGCATAGGAGAAGAAATACTTCGGGTTTCTTTCGATTTCATTTATGGCTTTTAGTTCTTCCCGCAATTCCTGACTCCTATAAGATTCCTTTAGCTTAGGTTCGATGCTTGCTATTTCTCTGACCAGTGTCTCCCTACGCATTTCAGATATATTGACCTCTTTTAGCCGCTCTGTTATTCTTTTCTGTCGCCTGTAAAGGGAGCACCTGTCTCTTTCTATTTTACATCTACTCCTCCTTTTTCTTAGAGGAATAAGCCTTGTGCATACATCGAGTGCCACCAAGTTAATCTGTTCTAGGCATAAGTTGGGGTCTATGTTGCTTAGTATATCTTCCCAGCTTATATCGGTTAGGACTTGGTTTACTTGGTCCCACTTTATGTTTTTGTTATTGAAGTTGAATTTGGTGAATGCACCTTCGTGACTAATCTCATTATGTCGGTCTGGGGCTCCGCGCATACATGTCTGAACCTCAATTATGTTGTGATCTGAGTATATTGTTTTTGATATGGTGACATTTCTTATCAGATCACCATTTTTAATGAAGATGAGGTCTAGTGTATTCTCCAGTCTAGTAGGCTCTATTATTTGCTGGTTTAAATTGAATTTTGTGCAGAGATTTAAAAGCTCGTGTGAGTGTGAGTTTTCATCAGAGCTGCCTCCTGGTGTTATTACTGCAACAATATTATTTGCTATATTCCTCCATTTTAGGTGCCTTAAGTTGAAATCCCCCAGGAGCAAGATGTTGGGTGCAGGAGCTGGAAGATTTTCCAGACAGTGGTCAATTTTTAGCAGCTGTTCCTGGAATTGCTGGGATGTTGCATCCGGAGGCTTGTAGACTACCACAATGACTAGGTTTTGGTTCTCAATCTTTACTGCTAAAACTTCCACTACATCATTTGAGGCATTAAGCAGTTCTGTGCAAACAAGTGACTCTGCAATGTACAGGCCAACCCCCCCCCCCCCCCATCCTTTTGCCTGTTCACTCTGTCATATCTGTATAGGTGTCACTCACATAAATCTATATTTTAAGCACAGTGCCCCCAAATATGCTGTGAGCAGTAAAGTTTGGCCTAGATATGAATAAATGGGTCTGTACAGTGGGTATGCACAGAATAAAAAAAATCCTGCCCCACACAGTTCATGATGGGGAAGGCGAACTTCTGATCTTATGTTTGGTTTAAAATAGAAACTTTGAGGTGATTTCTACTTTTAATGGTTTATTGGCTATTTCTCAGTATCAGTTGATAGAATGGAAAACATAATAGTGAAATAGAGTCAATTTTGGTCAATTTGATATTCAATCAGCTTGAAATACACACAAACTGGCAAAAATATTTGATTTTTGAAAATTTTCCTGAGGAAGAGTACCCTGTCCTCCTAGTTCTGTTTTGTGTGTTTTTATTATGTCTGCTAATCATTCTTCGTTATATTTGTTAACCAAGACATAGGGTAAAACACTGATTTTTTTGTGTCATGGTGGATTCAAAATGGAAAGCAAGTGTTATATAAGAGAGGCCTAGAGATGTGATTAATAGAATGCCTACAGTATTTATATTTACTATGTTTTTAAATTGGAATTTGTTGAATTAAGCCACCATGTCCAACTTATTTCCACTGGGGTCTTTGATCCTCTTCTTCAGGATGTGACCCACAGAAGTTGACCAACACCCATATACCTTCTTATTGCTAGGTGAAGAAGCAACAGGTGTGCTCAGTGAGGAAGCAACAGGGGTGGTAAGTGAATAGAGGTAATAGGTCTAAGGTAACGTACCCAACATTGCAACTGGTGCTGTAGGGATTGAAGGGCTGAATGCAGATTCTTCATATGAGAGGTAAAGGTGCTACCTCAAAGACACACTTGTTGGTAGTGAGATAATGAATACAATACATTGTGAATAAAACAATCATCATCTCTGCCTGTTAATTAACAGTTAAAGAATTACTGTAACTGCTTCAGAAAGTATTGTACCTAGAAGACAGCAAAGCCAATACTTTGTGCCTTGCTACAAAATAATCCATGATATATGTATATTTTCATATAGTCGGACTTGAGTCCTGGAAATGGGAAGTATGTACAATGCCTGCACTTTAAAGGAGGGGTTTGGGATATTGGCAGTTTGGAGGGATATGTTGTGTATCTTTATATGTGTATGCTTCTAAACTGTTGTATTCTGAGCACCTCTGCAAAAACAGTGATAATGTGTGAGTGTGGTCAAAGTGTTGAATGATGATGAAAGTATTTTCTTTTTGGGGATTTTCTTTCTTTTTTGGGTCATCCTGCCTCAGTGGGAGACAGCTGACTTGTTGAAAAAAAAAAAAAAAATATGTATATATTTTCCATGGAGAAGTGGAACAGAATTCTACCTCTGTAAGCCATGCGTGTCGTAAGAGGCGACTAAAATGATGGGAGCAAGGGGCTAGTAACCCTTCTCCTGTATACATTACTAAAATTAAAAAAGAGAAACTTTTGCTTTTCTTTTTGGGCCACCCTGCTTTGGTGGGATATGGCCAATTTGTTGAAAGAAGAAAGATATGTATATATTTATATACTCAGCTCTAATAGGCTACAAGAAACATTACTACACTCTTCTAACAAATTTTACAAGTCCATCATCAGAAAATCATTACTGGCATATTAGCAAATAGATAAAAGAAACTTAAATGTATAAATGCAGCAGTCAATGACTATCACATTAAAGTTTCATTATAAAACATGCAAGAAAAGAAAATAGTCATGAATAGCATTTTAACCCTTTCAGGGTCCGTCCCGTAGATCTACGGCTTTACGTTCAGGGTCCAAACCGTAGATCTACGCCATGAGCTCAGCTCACTCTGATAAACTGTGAGTGGTACATTTGGGCCTAGATATGAGAGAATACATCTATGTGGTATGTGTGCACCACATAAAACAGATCCTGCAGCACACTGTGTATAATGAGAGAAAAAAAATGAAATCATGATTTTTCGATTAAAACAGCAACTTTGCAGTGTTTTTTCGTATGTTTTTTATAGTTGTATTTGCGATTTCTTGGTCTCATTTGATAGAATGGAAGACATATTACAGAAATAGAGATGATTTTGATTGGTTTTAGCACTGGAAATGGCTTGAAACTGAGCTCAAAGTAGCAGAAATGTTAAATTTTTGCCAATATTCAAGAGTAAACAAACGACCTCACACGTCTAATACACGTCAGCTGGTGGGTCTAATATACATTCACAAATATGGTGATGATATTTATACAATTATTACAGTATTGCATAACAGTAAATCTTCTATTTTTTGGTGTGAATAAAAAATTCATTATGTGAATAAAAAATCAAAATGGAATTTATTTGTAAAGCCTCAAAACATAACTAATGAACAGAGGAAATGTTAGTTTAGTGCCAGGAATGCCTACATTGTTCATTCTGGACCCTATTTTGAAATTGGAATATTTTGAACTTTGTGTTAAAATGGCCAAATTAACAATTTCCGATCACTTTATTTTGTAGTTGAAACAGTTGACTTGGCGATTTCTTGTGCTCAATCGATAGAATAGAAGTAATACTAGTGAAATAGCTAAGAATTTGGTTGATTGGAATAATGTAATTGGCCTAAAATGGGAGTCAAAGTCGGCAAAATCGCCGATTCGTAAATATCGCTGACACATCAAAATTCGCGAGAGCATAATTTCGTCAATTTTCCACCAAATTTCGTACTTTTTGTTTTATTACCTTCACAAAAAGATTCTCTACGATTTCATAAGAAAAAATAACAATTTTTTTTTTTTAAATTCTTGGACACTGGTGCGTGACTCCAGATTTGGGCCTTGGACCCTGAAAGGGTTAATGAAGAAAATTACAATCCTGAAATTACTGCTAAATTTTCATTCAGCAAGATTTTATTGTATAAATTTAAAGTAAGAGAAAATAATTTTTTTGAAGTACTGTACCGCTATATAAAACTACACACTATTAACACTAGTTACAAATCTCCCACATTTTACATGGTAAAGGAACACAGTTTCACCCATCCATATGTTACTTTTTAGCAGCTTTAACTGAATGTGCTGTGGGTTTCCCCACACCTTATTTAGTAAAACCAATGTTAAAAACAATTAACCATGCCCTTATGAAACAATGCAATATGAGAGAGGTATAATCTACAGGCTGATAATTATTCATTATGGAAATAAATACCCATATTAATACTGCACCATATATGACAGATGATAATTTACCTTATCAGAGAAGACCTCCATGGCACCCCTTGCAGACACTCCCAGTTTGGCATTGCAGACCAAGCAGTGTGGACTATTCTGCAAGGGACTTCGCTGGAGTTTGGCAACTGACTGGTTTTGATCTGCTGCTTGTAGATGATGATGGTGGTGGTGGTGGTGGTGATGATGGTGCAGGTGAGTGTGATGCCTCTCATCATGCTCTGCTGTGTTCCTCTCTAGCTATTGATAAAAAAAAATGATCTTGAAATGAAAATTCTACACTTTTGTTACCATGTATGTTAATGTGTTTGGGAAATGTGTTGTCCAAAAAAGATAATGAAATGGATTTGAAGCAGTAGCTGTAAGAATAACATTTTCAGCCTAAACAATGCAACAGTGCAATATAAACAAGAAGCTGCAAAAGTTTGCAGAGAAGTTTAAATGAGTATTACGGAGTACTGTATTAAAAAATTATATATGCAATAACGCTCCATATATAATGTCATTTACTGTGTAGTACGTATACTGAAAGCGGATGTGTATTATTCCCTGCAAGTGAACGCATTTTATTCCTGTCAGTCAGGCAATGGCCAGGACAGGAGCAGAGGAGAGGTGTGCTTAGTTCAGTACATGTAGGAAGGCAGCTGGGTGAAGTCATTATGGGTTGGCATAAGTGTGAGTATAGGTAGTAGGTTGGTAGACAGCAACCACCCAGGGAAGTACTACCGTCCTGCCAGATGACTGTGAAACAAAAACCTGTAACTGTTTTGCATGATGGTAGGATTGCTGGTTTCTTTTTCTGTCTCATAAACACGCTAAGATAACAGGGATATCTTGCTACTCCTACTTACACTTTGGTCACACTTCATAGACACGCACATGCATATATATATATATACATACATCTAGGTTTTTCTCCTTTTTCTAAATAGCTCTTGTTCTTTTATTTCTTCTATTGTCCATGGGGAAGTGGAAAAGAATCTTTCCTCCCCTAACCCATGCGTGTCGTATGAGGCGACTAAAATGCCGGGAGCAATGGGCTAGTAACCCCTTCTCCTGTAAAATTACTAAAAAAGAGAAAAAAGAAAAACTTATAAAACTGGGTTGCTTAAATGTGCGTTGGATGTATGCGGGTGACAAGAAACAGAAAGATTGCTGATGTTATGAATGAAAAGAAGTTGGATGTCCTGGCCCTAAGCGAAACAAAGCTGAAGGGGGAAGGAGAGTTTCAGTGGGGGAAATAAATGGGATTAAATCTGGAGTATCTGAGAGAGTTAGAAACAAAGGGAAAGGGGGAGCAGTAATGTTAAATGATCAGTTTGGAAGGAGAAAAGAGAATGAATGTGTAAATTCAAGAATTAATGGATTAAAGTAAAGGTTGGAATGCGAGAAGTGGGTCATAATAAGCGTGTATGCACCTGGAAAGAGAGGAATGCAGAGGAGAGAGAGAGATTTTTGGGAGATGTTAAGTGAATGTATAGGAGCCTTTGAACCAAGTGAGAGAGTAATTGTGGTGAGGGACTTTGATGCTAAAGTAGGAGAAACTTTTAGAGAGGTGTGGTAGGTAGTTTGGGGTGCCTAGGTGTAAAAGATAAAGGGAGCCCCTTTGTATTGAACTTTGTATAGAAAGGGGTATTTAAGTTATAGGTAAACATATTTTAAGAAAAAGAGATAAATAATAAAACTCGATATGATGTAGGGCAAATGACAATAGTTGTAGATTATGTATTGGTAGATAAAAGACTGTTGAGTAGACTTCAGGATGTACTTTTTATAGAGGGGCCACAGATATATCAGAAACACTTTCTAGTTGTAGCCTACACTGAGAGTAAAGTAGATGGGATACAAGGAGAATAAGAAGCATCAGGAAGAGAGAGTAAAGGTATATAAACTAAAATAGGAGGCAGTTAGGGTAAGATATAAACAGCTATTTGGAGGATAGATGGGCTAAAGAGAGCATAGGCAATGGGGTCGAAGAGGTATGGGGCCTAGGTTTAAAAATTATGTTAGAGTGTTCAGCAGAAGTGTGTGGTTTACAGGAAAGTGGTCAGGAGGGAAGTAGGAGCGATTGGTGGAATGATGAAGTAAAGAGAGTAGTAGGGAGAAAAAGTTAGCATATGAGAAGTTGTTACAAAGTAAAGTGATGCAAGGAGGGAAGAGTATATGGAGAAAAAGAGAGAAGTAAGAGAGTGGTGAAGCAATGTCAAAAGAGAGCAAATGAGAGAGTGGGTGAGATGTATCAACAACATTTTGTTGAAAAATAAGAAAAAGTTTTGGGAGTGAGTATTAACAAGTTAAGAAAGCCTAAAGAACAAATGATATGTCATAAAAATAGGAGAAGGAGAGTTAATTAAATGGAGAGTAGAGGTATTGGAAGATGGAAAGGACTATTTGAGGAATTGTTTAAATGTTGTGAAGATAGGGAAGCTGTGATTTCGTGTTATGGGCAAGGAGGATAACATCTTGTAGAGTGAGGAAGAGTCAGTTGTGAGTATTGGGGAGTTCGTGAGGCAGTATGTAAAATGAAAGGGGGTAAGGCAAGAGCCGGGATTGATGGATAAAGATAGAAAAGTTAAAAGCAGTGGGGATATAGTTTTGGAGTGGTTGGTGCAAATAATTAAAGTAAATGTATGGAAGAGGGTAAGGTACCTAGGGATTGGCAAGAGGAGCATCCATAGTTCCTGTATAAAGGCAAAGGGATAAAAGATAGTGCAAAAATTAAGGGGGATAAGTCTGTGAGTGAAAAAAAAAAAAAAAAACCTGGTAAAGTGTATGGTAGAGTTATAATTGAAAGAATTAAGAGTAAGACGGAGAATAGGATAGCAGATGAACAAGGATGCTTTAGGAAAGGTAGGGGGTGTGTGGACCAGGTTTTTACAGTGAAACATATAAGTGAACAGTATTTAGATAAGGCTAAAGAGGTCTTTGTGGCATTTATGGATTTGGAAAAGGCGTATGACAGGGTGGATAGGGGGGGCAATGTGGCAGATGTTGCAAGTGTATGGTGTAGGAGGTAGGTTACTGAAAGCAGTGAAGAGTTTTTACGAGGATAGTGAGGCTCAAGTTAGAGTATGTAGGAAAGAGGGGAATTTTTTTCCCAGTAAAAGTAGGCCTTAGACAAGGTTTGTGATGTCACCGTGGTTGTTTAATATATTTATAGATGGGGTTGTAAGAGAAGTAAATGCGAGGGTCTTGGCAAGAGGCGTGGAGTTAAAAGATAAAGAATCACACACAAAGTGGGAGTTGTCACAGCTGCTCTTTGCTGATGAAACTGTGCTCTTGGGAGATTCTGAAGAGAAGTTGCAGAGATTGGTGGATGAATTTGGTAGGGTGTGCAAAAGAAGAAAATTAAAGTGAATACAGGAAAGAGTAAGGTTATGAGGATAACAAAAAGATTAGGTGATGAAAGATTGAATATCAGATTGGAGGGAAGAGTATGGAGGAGGTGAACGTATTCAGATATTTGGGAGTGGACGTGTCAGCGGATGGGTCTATGAAAGATGAGGTGAATCATAGAATTGATGAGGGAAAAAGAGTGAGTGGTGCACTTAGGAGTCTGTGGAGACAAAGAACTTTGTCCTTGGAGGCAAAGAGGGGAATGTATGAGAGTATAGTTTTACCAACGCTCTTATATGGGTGTGAAGCGTGGGTGATGAATGTTGCAGCGAGGAGAAGGCTGGAGGCAGTGGAGATGTCATGTCTGAGGGCAATGTGTGGTGTGAATATAATGCAGAGAATTCGTAGTTTGGAAGTTAGGAGGAGGTGCGGGATTACCAAAACTGTTGTCCAGAGGGCTGAGGAAGGGTTGTTGAGGTGGTTCGGACATGTAGAGAGAATGGAGCGAAACAGAATGACTTCAAGAGTGTATCAGTCTGTAGTGGAAGGAAGGCGGGTAGGGGTCGGCCTAGGAAGGGTTGGAGGGAGGGGGTAAAGGAGGTTTTGTGTGCGAGGGGCTTGGACTTCCAGCAGGCATGCGTGAGCGTGTTTGATAGGAGTGAATGGAGACAAATGGTTTTTAATACTTGACGTGCTGTTGGAGTGTGAGCAAAGTAACATTTATGAAGGGATTCAGGGAAACCGGCAGGCCGGACTTGAGTCCTGGAGATGGGAAGTACAGTGCCTGCACTCTGAAGGAGGGGTGTTAATGTTGCAGTTTAAAAACTGTAGTGTAAAGCACCCTTCTGGCAAGACAGTGATGGAGTGAATGATGGTGAAAGTTTTTCTTTTTCGGGCCACCCTGCCTTGGTGGGAATCGGCCGGTGTGATAATAAAAAAAAAAAAAATAAGTGTGAGTAGGTGGTTTGGTAAGTATTTTAGTGTATACTACAGGTGTTTGTGTTTAAGTGCTCTCATGTTTATTTGTAAGGCCCTAGTATGCAGAGGCCTGGTTACCAGGTGGATAAAGATTAATAGTTACCTGGTGGATGAAAAATGGAGTACAGTCCTATACTTACCTGATGAAAAGGAAAAAAGTAACATAATTACCTGGTGGGCAGTGAGGATATGGACATTGGGTTGATTCTTATTATCATCCAGGGATGACGTGTCCACCAAGGTGATCATCTGGGATCCCTCTTCACCCAGGGGTGACACATCCAGTGTCAGCCCATCCATATTCTGTATACAAATGCATATATACATACAGGATACACATATACAGTATGTGCATAAAATTAATAACTCACAAAAGGAAAATAAATTCAAATGTGAAATGGCTGAATACTCAAAACAAAATATCTGTACTGACTTACACAAATATGACATTTTAATGATAAATCTTTATAAATTATTTTCAGACAATAAAGACCTTTTGTACCATACACTTAATAATGACCTGGGAAAAAATAGATAGTCTGAGTGGAGGGAATGAAGGAATATATATACATGTATGTATGTATAAATAACAAAAGACAATACCGTGACTAGAACAATGCACAAATAACCCGCACATAGGAGAGAGGAACTTACGATGATGTTTCAGTCTGACTTGGACCATTTACAAAGTCACACAAACAGAAAGGAGAGAAGAAAGCAGTACATATAGGCCAGCAAACAGGGACGGGACAAGAGAGGTAGTAGGAAAGGAAGTAGAGAGGAAATGGTAGAGGCAGTAGTAGTAATAGTGGAGTCAAAGACCAAGCAAGAGGAGCATTGCAGGAGAGCTAGGGGCCCACAAAGGGTAGGAACAAAAACACACGGGAGGAAACAGTGTTAGTGTGACTTTGTAAATGGTCCAAGTCAGACCAAAATGTTGTCGGAAGCTCCTATGTTTGGGTTATTTGTGTAATACTGTACATGTATATATATATGCTTTGGTGTTTCATGCACTGTTGGAGTGTTTTCATGGAAATATCATAATTAAAAGGAGTCCAGGGAACTGAACAGTAGAAGATATGTAGTGCTTTGGAGGCAAATATGGATTGAGTGATGGTGAATGTGGTTTTTCTTTGAATCACCCTTCCTGAAAACTCGGATATAACATTGCTAATTTTCCTTATGTATACTATTTATATATTATTTTTTCTCGTATAATTTACCTTTCTTATAAAGTATATCTTCAGATTTAACCATTACTGTATAATGGTGATGTCAATACCAAAATTAGAATTACCATATAAACTTTCAATATATGTACCATATAATTACGTGTAATTATATTAATCACTATGTGTAATTACTGTACATTACATATGCAAAACTTTCAACATATGTATTTTGAGATTCTATGATCGTGAGTTCTATCCCCGTCTGTGGTACAGTTTACATGTATTTTAGTTATTATATAATCAATATATTATACTATACATACAGTGGAACCTCAAAAACCGAACTTAATCTGTTCCAGGAGCTAGTTCTAAATTCGAAAAGTCTGAAATTCGAAGCAATATTTCCCATAAGAAATAATGGAAATACAATTAATCCGTTCCAGAAACCCATAAATATTCACACAAAAAATACATTTTATAGAGATTAATTACAGTTTTACATACAACAAATACTATAGTTTTTAATTATGTATTACCTGGAGTTTACCTGGAGAGAGTTTCGGGGGTCAACGCCCCCGCGGCCCGGTCTGTGACCAGGCCTCCTGGTGGATCAGCGCCTGATCAACCAGGCTGTTGCTGCTGGCTGCACGCAAACCAACGTACGAGCCACAGCCCGGCTGATCAGGAACTGACTTTAGGTGCTTGTCCAGTGCCAGCTTGAAGACTGCCAGGGGTCTGTTGGTAATCCCCCTTATGTGTGCTGGGAGGCAGTTGAACAGTCTCGGGCCCCTGACACTTATTGTATGGTCTCTTAACGTGCTAGTGACACCCCTGCTTTTCATTGGGGGGATGGTGCATCGTCTGCCAAGTCTTTTGCTTTCGTAATACATATAAAATAACATTTTTACTTGCCTTTATTGAAGATTGGTGATGGCATCTGGAAGATAGGGAGGAGGAGAGAGGGAGTTGGGGTTAGTGTTTGGAAGGAGAATCCCCCTCCGTGAGGACTTCAGGTAAAGCCCTCTCTGGGGTTACTTCCCTTCTCTGTCTTTTAATGCCACTAGGACCAGCTTGAGAGTCACTGGACCCCTGTCTCACAAAATAACTGTCCACAGTCCTCTGTTTCTGGCGCCTCTTTAACATTTCCCTAAAATGGGACATGGTTCTGTCACTGAACTTGTTGCAAAGACGGCTTGTTTCAGCTTGCTCAGGGTGGTACTTCTGCACAAACATTTAGACATCATTCCACTTGGTACAAATCTCCTTAATCTTTGAAGAAGGCACCTCATCCACTCCCTATATTAACACCTTTCGCAACATCAGCTTCCTTGATTTGTTCTTTCTTTGACAGGATAGAACCGATGGTCAACTTGTTTTTCCCATACATCTTGGCAAGCTCAACAAGTCTCACACCACTCTCATACTTCTGTATTATTTCCTTCTTCACATCTATGGTGTTTCTCACTTTCTTTTCCACAGGGTTACCACTAGCAAGTTTCTTTGGGCCCATGGCAGCTTATTTCACAGTCCCACAAGCACTAAACACAACGAAATAATCGTAAAATGCGTGAATGAGAGCGCTGGTTAGTGTTCACTCAAGCATAAACAAAGCTAGACTGCTCATGGCGCCTGCGCGGGGACGTGGACAGAGCGGGCGGCAGACAGGTCCCGTACCCGGCGGTCCGAAAATAGGGGCGCGTTCAATAATAGGGACACAGTTTGTCTGAAAAAATGGTCCTATTTTCGAAACGTTAGATATGTGATACATTCGATTTTTGAGGTTGCACTGTACATACAATACAATCATGATTACTCTATTACTTTAATATAGTACAGTATTTCAAATTATCTTCAGTAATGTAGAATCACTATACAATACAGCATATGATTTTCTAATAAGCTATAATTATTAATAAGTATTGTGTATAATCATTAACTATAATTGTCTAAAATTCATTCTCATTACTGAATTATCTAAACTTAATTATCATAAAAGTATAATTATTATTCATAACACTTGTCTAGATTCATAGTCTCTTATCATATAAAAGAACTAGAATGTTACATGCTGTATTTAACTTTAAGACATTACTGAAGGTAACCAAATGTCAAATATCAAAATTTGAAAACATCCAAAATATCCAAAATCACTCTGAGTTTGCAGTTAGCAACAAAACAGTCCAGCATACTATTAACAGTCACAGAAAATTATTAAACACTAATGGATTATTCAGCACCATGTAATCCAGCATACTATAGGTGCTAGGTAACTCCTGTACTGTGTTGTGAATCTTGCACAAATCTATTTGTTCAGTACACAAGAGATGAGGATCCTTACTACATTTTTTTTAACACAACAACCATCTCCCATCTAGGTAGAGTGACTTGAAAAAGAAGAGACACTTTCACAATCACTCATTACTGTCTTGCCAGAGGCATGCCTCTCCTACAATTCAGAAACTCCTCCAAACTGCAATATTCTCACCCCTCCTTCAGAATGAAGGCACTGTACTTTTCACATCCAGGACTCAAGCCTGAATCCTTAATAAATTTACCTTGCTCACACTCCAACAGCACATTAAGACATAAGTACCACTTGCCTCCATTCACTTTTATCTAGCACGCTCGCACACGCTTATTATTATTATTATTATTATTATAATTATAATCACAGGTAAATAATAAACCCACATAGGTTATGCAGCACCTGAAGAATGGGAAGCGATAAACCCATCAATTTAGGGCTATATGTAAAAACATCTCATCGTCCAAACTTAACTATACCAACACATACTAAATCATTCAACCAGTATGAATTATTATTATAATCAAAAAGAAGCGCTAAGCCACAAGGACTATACAGACCCAGTATGAAACTAATCAAGAAATCACAAAAAAACTTAGGGCAGCTAGTTCTATGTAAAATATTAATACATGCTTAAAATTGTACTGTTGTAACTTTGTAAACTGTACTAACTGTAATGCTTTTTTTTACTACTTCTCTAGTATAATTTTATTAGTTATAATACTTTGGCTAGCACTCTATTGTAATAATGAATAATTAAAACTTACCACTCCATAACCTATCTAATTTTAAGTAGTCTGTAAGTGCTGATTAGTCTGCCCAAAATATTCAGGAATGTTAGTGGCTTTCTTTGTACTTAACAGTTTTTGAAATGTCAATCACACATTGTAAGCTTTGCACAGAAATAAAAATTTGTATTAGTATAGGGGTTATACATTATTATTATAATTATGGGGGAGCACTAAATCCATAGGATTATACAGAGCATGTGCAGGGGGGATGCAAGGTATTCAGGCTCAATTCAGGGAACTGGAGCACAAATCCAATTCCCTAAATCAAGAGCTCCTCATCAGCATCAAGGAACCTCCCTTGAGGGGATAGGGGTTATGCAACACCTGCAGAAAGGGAGACAGGTTTAGAGGGGAAGACAGGTCTACTTCCCTGAATCAAAAGCCCCTCACTGACATCAAGCCACCTTCCTTAATACAGCCATTGTAGAAAATTAAGTAATTAATAATAATACGAGTAATAATTATTTCAAATCATTGTACGAAAATATAAAATAATTTGTAAACCCCTAGTATGCACAACATTTCAGGCAAACAGACTAGTACTACACTACATAGTATTTTCTTAACAAGTCTAGTATGAAGTATTGAGAGAATGCTAAAAAATAATTTAGGTACAAGTTGTAATAGGTAGAGTGGTACTACAGTGATTTATGAAATTACAGTACATGTTATCTGAAGGTTATCATCATGTTTAAAACCTTTTAATATTACACATGTTTAACTAATAAAAGCAATATTATTATTATAATAAAAAAGAAGCACTAAACCTACAAGGGACATACAGCACAGCATTAAAAGCAATAAATGTTCAAAGGATCTGTTACTGAAACTAAAATTGCAGGTATTTTAGTATTTATTTACTCTCTCCTCAAATTGCCTTGATGGTGGCAAAGTGCTCTTTATCTGCTCTTCCCTTCCTTGGACTGAACCTGATTGCCTCACGTTACCTATACATGTACAGTGTAATACCCCTATGGATCTAGTACTTTTCTGATTGTTAAAAAATATTCAGCCTCTGTATCTCCCACCATCAAG